TTTTTTCTATTTGTGTTATTTCTTATACTTTCATAGCAGTATGAGGACTGGGAAATCTCTTGCACTGGGGATTAGCACCTTGCTATGGTCTCATTTTCTGTCTTTCCCATGGCAGTACACATGGGCATACAAGTTCTGTCCCTCCCTGTCAAATGTCCATGCAGCATCACTGCAGATCACTGCATTGACCATATTCCCAGGTGTATATGGGTACATTTCAAAAACAGATGAATAATATTTCATGTACCCAAACCAAAAAACACTTTGGGAACTTTGGAAGTGCCCTAGTTCCAATCAGGACCAGGTTCATTTTTTGCAATAGCTGTGAGCGGTGTGGCCAGGACCCTAAAGTTACTTGATACCACTTCATGCCATTGCCAGTGGCAGGAGAAAGGGACTCTCTTCCAAGGAGAAGGGGCTCCTTCCAATCGAGTTAAAGTGGTGGACAGAACAGTCAGGTATTGTTTATTGTCAGGAGCTTTTCATGTAAATTGCTTCGTCTTATACCTTTTGTTATTAATATTGTTGCTGTTATTGTTTGTCTTCTTATCTCATTGCTGTTTCCAGTAAATTGTTCTTATCTTAACCCATGATCTTTTGATAACATCTGAGACTGCTCAGCTTCAACCATTTCTACTCCTCTGCAACAGTTCCAGGACCTGTTAGATGTGAAGGTAAGTCAAGAGACAAGGAGAGACACTCATTCCCTTGGCTAGCCACATGCCTTACACCAGCCCATCACCCCCAAACAATGACAGCCTGGACACAGCACCCGGGCAGCTGCACTACACAAGCACCCCCTCAACATGGGAAAGACCTTGCTTGGGACCACACCACCCTCAGATGCGGGGGGGTGCAAACTTTATCCTTGCCCTAATCCCCAACCAAACAACCTTACGCAAGAGACAGGAGCAATGACTAGAGAACCTGCCCAACAGGAACCTGCCAGAAAGGAGCAGGAACTGGGATATATCTGAAAGGAAAGAGTGAGAGATGGGGAGGAAGGGAGTGTCTCCAACAAAGAAAATTACCTCCAACATGAGTAAAGGCTTGGGTAGATTACGGAGTACACAAACATATCAAGAGGGAGAATAAGAAGCCTTAGGGAAAAGGTCAATAATTAGATGTAAAAATGCCAATGTGTAAGGATGGACTGGAAGCTGATGAGCAATAGGCTGTGAAAAGTGACACCTTGTTGTACATAGGAGAAGTAATACAGTGGCGCTGAGTGGATAGACTTAGGCTGTGGCCTACTGGGATGTGCAATACAAGGAGGTATTTTGGGACTAGAAAGAGGTGTGTGTTGGTGTAGAGAAGAGTACACAGTGAAGCATGGAGATGTCCCAATATCTAACCTGTGACAGCACTGTGCAGCAGCAGAGAAGTGAGAACCATATTAGGGAATGCACTGGCCAGTAGTGGAGCCAGGCAACAAAGGCACAAAGGATATTTGCAAGACCGGGGTTGTAAAAGTTGACAAGTCCTTCTGCAACCACTCCATCCTATGAAAAGGGATGCTGTGATATGCCCTTAATCAGAACAGAGTGGCATCATCTCCCCAATATCCCTGTATCCCACAGCCACATGACAGTAGTTTCCAAAAAAACTACTAGAGGGAGGAAATGTCCCTAATCCCAGTGCTGTCAAAATTTCTTCTACCTTTTCTAGTTTCTAAGCACAAAGATTTTGTGTTTTTAAGGTGCACCCACTCTGAAAGTCTTGTTTTCCAGAGCTCCTCATCAGTCCTTCTTCCTAAATGCGTGGTGTCCACATCTTACCAGAAGTTGCCTGACTCTGCTCTGCATGCACTTCGTTGAGTTAGAGCACTTAGCTGAACCAGCTGTCTGTCCCTCTGTCACTAACAGTTCTGCAGAGAAAGAACATATTCAGCTTGCTTTCATTTTCCACGCTTGACACCTTTTCACTTTCAGAATCTTGTTCAAGCAAGGAAGATAAAAATAGAGGTAGAAGAGACTCTTTCATTCATATCTTAACACCCATTCTTATCAACACAGCTTTTCCCAACTGCTCCAAGAAATTCACCCAGAACAAGCCCAACCTGCACTATGTCCACTGTCTCCCCAAAAGATTCTTGCTCTGTGATCTCACTGGTGACTGTTTCCAGGAGTTATTGTAAAAATTTCTCTGCAGAGCCTCTCCCACTGCTACTACCCTGTGAATCCCACCCCACCCACCTCAACTTCTTGCATATTAACACTCCAGAGAATTATCACCTCCCACCATCACTCATCCAAACCACTGTGGCTGAGATTCAAAAGCCAGCGTTTGCTCACCGATTATTTTTATCCCAGTGATCCCTGATAGGTACACTGGCCCTGCACATAAAATAGGGTTGGACAGGACAACCCAATAGTCAGCATATATGATGCTTCTGCTTCTGTGTCAAATCAACACATGCCATTCACCTTTACATCAGAGCAGCTCCCAGTCCCCAGCCACGACACTGGCCTAAAATGGGAGACCCCCCATCATCAGGGTATCAAGTAGGTTTGTGTGGAGACAACAAACTCATGGTGAACTGCCATAAAGCCACCTCATAAATGCTCTGTCTTTGCTCAAATATCTGTCCCACTGGCATGGTCTCCATTTAAGCCAGTTTTCCCACAAAACATTTGTTAAACACCCAAGCCCATGATAAGATTCACAGGAGTAGGTCACATCAGAAGGCAGACTATTCCTAATTGACTGAAAATATAATGCTTCTGTACATGAAATTGGCTTTTTTTGATCTTCCTGCCCTTTTGCAAGCTCTTGCCTAATTTGTTAGCTTGTCACATTCCTCCCTAGGTATCTCTGTATTTCCAGTTGCTCTTTGTCCCATTTGTTCTGCACTGATCCAAGCTGTATGTAACTACTTCTTGGCTACACCTAAGAGTCATCTGAAGAGCCCTGCTCTTGGGCCTGATGGGAGAACTGGAAGTCTTACCACTGAATTTGAGAGCAGCAGGACTAGGCTCAGGCACTCTGAGAAGATTCCCTCATTGTCATTTTTACTTCTATTTGAATTCATCTGCAAGTTCTCAGGTATAATGCTGGCCCCAGAAGGGAAAGTGTTAGATCCCTCTCTGCACTCTTCTCTGCCCTGATACTCCACCTTGCTGCTCTGCTACCTGTATTTCAGATAAGTATATCATATTTAAAATTTACTGAGGATCTAGCTACATTGGAATTAAATTTGTTCCTGAAGCAACCCCATTAAAACCTCTAGGCTCCAGCAATGACAGCTTTGGTGCATTAGGTTCCTAAATCCTTTCTGCTTTTAAAGATCTTGATTTGGTACCTTGTAACTATTGATATGGGCATTTACATCAGCTTTTAATACTGCCCAGTTTTACAAGGTCCTTTATTTTTATACATGTTATTCTCTTCATTTATCTCTTCTATCATTGCTCTCTTTCCCTTGATACCATTTCCTCTCCATCACTTCCTTACCATTTCTACCTTTTTTACCCTCCCTCCCCTGTAACTTCAAAATTAAATATTGCTCAGCACTGTCCATGTGAAAGAAGTGAATGCTATGAGGTAAGATTGTATTTGAACTGCTTCACTGGGAATCAATGAGGCACAGAGCATTCCTCTAGCTCCCAAGAAGCACAAAGAAATCAGAGATTATCAGTGGCAGCTGAACACACACTTGGGAGAAAAGGTCCCACCTCCAAGAGACACCACACAAACTGAGCCAGAGGTGCCTAGTGTGGTAATTTAATGTGGGTTAACTTTGGGGTGGCTTTCCACAGCTCCTGTGGAAGGGAGATTGCCACATGGAAGCCCATAGAGGCAAAGGCCTGCAGGGAGCAGCCAGCTTGCTCTGCTCCATCTATCCACTGAGCTATGAAACACAGCTGGTACCAGCCTTGCTACAAGGATGGAATGCTGATAGAGGCAGCATGTTTCAGACTGGGGGCTGACATTAACCCTGCCATTGAACTGTAAGGAAATATTAATGGTCATTCCTGGCTGGACAATATGTAGACCCTTAAACTACACAGAGGCAGACTCACCCTGTTCAAATCTGCCCATAATATACCCTCTAGATGCAAATACTTCACTTACCTCATGTTTCCCCAACACCTCCTTACCACACAGTCAGACAGGCCAGAACCACCAAAACAACCCTAAAAGCATGTATATGAGAAACAACAGATGTATACACCACTTCCCTTCTTCAACCTTCTGTCTTCCTCCCCCACACACACACACTTTCCCTAGCATCACCTTTGCACACTGTTGTCTCCTGCCTCCCTCCTTACCATGCCTGTTGTGATTCTTGAAAGGCCTCTTCTCAACCTGGGCTACAGGTGAGGGGACATCTTGTAAAGAGCAAGATGCAAAGTAGCAGAACACCCTCTGTAATTTACCATGTCAACTTCCCTTATATCTGATGAACACAGTCACTTACCTACTGATCTCAGTACTGTGGGCTGCTGAGGGTTAATGATGGCACTGACTCCTGAGCTACTGCATTACCTAACTGCAGCACCAAGAGTGATTTATGCCATTATTTTCTTTGGGGGTTAATTAGGGGCTCGAGAAAGTAAAGGGCTGTCAGTGCTAGCTGGAATTGGTCTAGTGCAGCCAGGGGAGAGCAGTCATCCCTCACAGAGCTCTGCCAATACGTCTTTGTCCTGAACATCAATACCTCCAGCTCCCACTCCTCAGTGTGGCAGACAGCGCTCCATCCTGTCCTCCAGCAGCCCGGTTCATCTTGGCATACAGAGTACACTGCTCTGTTGAGTCCTGCCATTTCCATCTGGCACCTTTCACACCCTTACTCCTCTGTTATCTTCTCCTCCTCACCAAAGCCTGCCAATAATGCCCATTGATGGACAGGGAAAACTCACATGGCCTTCACCCAGAAGCAAGGAAGAGGTATCTCCCCTCGGTATCTCTTATAGCTGAGAATCAGCAGTTTTCCTTCCTCTAGCTGTCCAGGGCTTGCTGAGGCCTGAGAAGCCACCACAAGCTATGGCTGCTCCTACCTCTTTGCCCAGATCCTCACGGATAACTTGCTCAATCTCCTGCCTGGTGCTCTGTGGGGCCTGGCTGTGCAGCACCTTGAGGGTGCGGGTGTACTCCTCGGGCAGGAGGTAGTCCAGCGCTCCCAGGTGCTGTCCCACCTTGATGAAGGTGCCTCGGTTGGAGCAGCACAGCTCCCGGAGGCGCTCGGCAGAGCGCAGGTGCACCTGTGAAGAGACCAGAACATCAGTCAAGCCCTTTTGCTGTTACATGCACATGTCCATATACACATCTTGTTTTGTCCAGTATTTAAGCAGACCAAGGATTTCCTTTCTTGATTCTGGGCATCATCATCTAACATGTCAGTTCATTAGTAGGACTCTGGCTGGATTTAAAGGGTCAGAACCAGACCAGGACAAGATGCTCCAGAATATAAAGGGTTTCAACACTTGTTTGTATAGGCATCATGATCAGTAACAGCACATTAATTTTTGGCCCATCCCTGCACAAAATAAAATGTCTGGCCATAGGGCAGCATTGATTTGTCACTGTGATTCTGCATAGTTTGGAAACTCCTTGTCAAAAGACAAAAATCACAACCTCAACCATTATGTTAGACTCTTAGCATGAGTGCAGTGAAATTAAAATGAGAAGAAATTCACAGGTATCATCCCAGAGACTTCCAGGAACTCAGAAGAAGAGTCCATTAAAAATCAAAATTAAAGATCTCTCCTTTGGCAGGGAGGAGGACAGTATACAGGCAGTCCTTCATCTTCCTCACCTCGCTTTTACACGCACAAGGAGAATTACATCCCTCCAAGTCCAGTGTGGTCTTGGGTCTTACTACCTACATTGCCAACAAAGTCTGCAATGACAGTTGTTTGAGCAACTAAGTGTTAGAAGGCTTACCAGCTGTGCTCACAGTGGCCAAATGCAACTACCAAATGACAAAACCCATTGCCAACCACTTGCCTGGTCTGTATTTCAGCTCTTTCAGTTCATTTTGCTCCTCAAGAATATACCAGCCACCACATCCTTCAGTGACAATGATTTATTCCCCCTTTATTACTGTCACTAGAAAAGCCTCCTGCCAAGGACACAGCTATATTGAATAATATTTAATGAACTTCATATAAGTTTACCCTGATACATTAATAAAACCTACGCAGATCAATAACAAAAAATAACTGTGCACCCATCCCCTGTTAACGCCTGACACGAATCTGCATGAAGTCTCCTCATTCCTCTGGCTTCTGTGTCAGACATCATTGAAGGTCAAATCCTGTGTCTACAGCCCTCATCTGCACAAGATCCTGTGGTGATGGACTCCAGCAAATGCCTTGAAATACATGACAAAAAGGAACAATTCCACAAACATTCATGAACACCACATACACCCACACCATCCAGCAGCTATCTTTGCTCTCTGTGCAAAGCAGTGCCATGTCACATCATGGGACAGGCTGAGTGACTCGTATTTGGGAATGTGTCAGGGGCAGACTGAGTGCTGAGCTGCAAGTGCATGAAACACAGGCCTAGGGGAGTGTGAAGAGAAAGCCTAATGTGCAAGTCTTGCCCTCAGTGTGAGACTTGACAGTTTGATGCCCACGTGCTCACACACACGTATACGCGCATATTCCTAAGTGGGCACATACGGGCAAGTGTAACTCGTGTGTGCCTGAGCTTCCCCCAGCATACTGCCAGCTCAAAAACACTCCCACATGTATAGGCTGCAAATAACACCCATGAGTATGCCTCAAGTCTCCCACGTCATTCTCCTGCATTTTACACAACAGCTCTGAAGCTCCTGCTGTAAAAAGCCTCTGCTCTGGCTCTTTCCCTGTTTTCCTTTCCTGTGTGCAGCAAGGCCAAAAGCAGGCCAAAAGGGAACAAGGAAAGGAAGCTGTACCAGAAGATGAGAGAGCAAGAAAACCAGGGTGGGAGTAATGGGACAGAAGAGAAAGGGAGAGAGGGAGCCTGTGCAGCTGGGTTATTTGTCACAGCACCGGGAGTGCAGCCCATCACAGAGGAACAGCTTTTTTGCAGCTCCAATAGTCATTGTCTACCCACTGCCTCCAGCTGTGGAGGAGAACCCCTGCCAGCAGTGAAGGAGAGTGGTGGCCAACCACACACCTCAAGGTGGTGGGCAGCCATAGCCAAAGGCACTGGCAGGAAGCAGGGGCAAGGCTCTTTACAGATATGCTCCAAGAAAGCCAGCACTGAGCTCCCAGCATTGAGCTCAGGCCAGCACAGGGTCCTGTGATCTCCCACGCACAGCAGGAGCCCATCAAATGACTCCAGGCTGCAGCATGACTCAGGGCAGAGCAGCAGCACCCGGGGCTGTAGTGCAGTGCTGGGTGACAGGACAAGCAGCCAGCTCAGGGTAGCTGAGGTGCTGGCTCCAGTGCATTACCACACCACATGGATTCCCAAGGAAGATGGAAAAAACAGGCTGGAAAAGTCATCTAGCTAAAAATGCAACTGCTTGTAGACACACTTGCATACAGGGTGTATCTTCACATGTGGGTCACTGCTGGGAAGGAGTTGGCAATAGCACCTCTTTCCTCTAGCACAAGGTGAGAGGAAATTTTTGCCCTCACAAATTTATCCCCCCTGTTGAGAAGCTGGTTGGCTTCATGAATGCAGCAGTCCTGGACAAGACAGTCCTTAGAGAGGACTCCAGGAACAAAACAGAACAAAGCATCCTCCTGCAAAGCATCCTCCACAGTGCTCTCACAACTGGCTTGGCTTAAATTCCTAAGAGATAGATGTCTTGGCTGGCTGGCTGGACCAGGGAATTCCAGTTCCCGCACTTCTAGAGAGACAAGATGACCAAGCAGCTTGTCTCAGAAGAGGTAAATCTGTATCCCTACATCTTACAAAACTCCTGTCTGCATTAGAGGCAGAAGTACTCTGAGTATGAAGCAGGACTGTGAATGCAGCTTCCAAGGACTCTTTTCTTATAAATCAGATCAGGTTTTTTAGCAGAAAACTTTCTTAATGATCTCTATTATTTTCTTGGATCTCCCCAACACAGGTCAGAGTTCAGATGCAGCACTTGTTCCTCTGACAGACTACACTCCCCTAATCATAAACAAAGTAAGACCATCACATTCCTATACGGTGTCCAATAGTGGTGGCCCACGTTTCTGTTCCACCTTGAAGAAAATGCAAGGTAAATGGAAATCCCCAGAATGCCTCAGAACTTTTCTTCAAGATACTGCTCTTTGTTGCCCAAGAAATTCTTTGAAGACTATTTTTATCAGAGGCAAGAGCTGGAAACAACACCTAGTTTTACACAGATGTAATTGTATGCATCACTCCTGGGAGCACACTACAAAGCAAGGAAGCATTTCATGTACTGAGGAATATCAAGAATAAATTTCCATCAGAAAGGCCTTCAGATCACAAATGTTGCCTGTGCACATGGCTCTTTCCCCAGTCCACATGGGCATCTCTTTCTGTCTTAAATGCTTTCTGCAAATTTCATCAGGACAAATTCTACATTGGCCCATATGGCTATCAGACTCCTCTGCTTTACCTACACCCAGGTTAGAATAGGATTAACACTGATTATTAAAACTGTGAAAGTAACAACTCTTAGGTATAGAGAAGAGGCAACTCTGGGATGAAGCACACGCTCAGCAAGCAGAGCTGCAAAGGGATATATTTTAATTTATGCTTGATGTACAAGCAGACCTGGCTTCTCAAGTAATTTGGTTGCTTTTGAAGGAGCTTTTACTCACACAGATTACTGGCAAAGAACTGCTCATCAGAACATCAGATGTACAGATATCATGAACTGGCAGGTGTTAATCTAGTTTTTAAAACAAAGGAATTAATTTAGAAGAAAATAAATACTCAGACTAAAATCTACCAGTGAGAACTTCAGTATTTGATATCTAGTGACAGACCTGGTGGCAAAAGTGCTCAGAAAGGCCACTGAATACAATATAGTAAGTGGTCGAAGCAACTCCTCATATGAAATCCCTCAGAAAAGATATCCCACCTGTGCAGGGCATACTCTTAGCTGGCAAAATGTGAAATGAAGATTAGGAATGCAGAGAGAACAGCCTGCCCATCACTGCATACAATGGAGATACACTCTCCACGACAGTATTTCAAGAAAGGTGTCTCCAGAAAACACATGGAAAACTTCAATCACATAAAAATTAGAGATTAATTCAAAAATTAGCTGAGATGCTAATAACCATAATAAAAGGAAATCTCATATTAAAACTGTTAACTTGAAGAGGACTGAAAGGGAATAATTGTGTTGCCCTGTTTTTAAGAAAAGTCTAGACAAATCTGGGAAACTACAGTCCTTCAAGCTTTAATTCTGTATCAACTAAATTACTTGAGACAATAATTACAGAGAGTACTAAAAATCATCTAGCTAAACGTGATATGACTGACAAAAAGCCAACAGGGATTTTGAAGGGAAAAATCATTCTTCACCAGTCCACCAAAATACTGTGAGCTTGTTAATACAATAGCCAATAGAAAAGAGGTATTTACTGGGACTTTCAATAAATATGCTCACAAAGAATGAAAGGAAAACTCAGTAATTATTGGAGATACAAGAACATCACTTGCTCATTTTATCCCATTTCCAGCTCAGAAACCCAGCACTACAGACAGCAGCAATGGAAGACACTCCAATTAGGACAAGGCTGCAACATTTAGTGCTGTTTTCACCACAGCTTCATTTCAACCTGCTCTGAGCATTTTTAAACCAGATAACCTTGCAGAAGCCTTGTCTATCCATTCATTGTTTCCTCCTGGGAGATTGAACTAGCACTGGAAACAGAAACATGATGAAATGGGGAAGAGGTCCATGTAATGCACAGAAGGCAGGAGCTCTCTACCATAAAAGGATTGACCTGCATTACTGTCAAAAACAACCAGCAAAGTGTCCCATTATGCCTGTTCTTACACCAAAGTTTCATTTTCCTGCCAGTGATCTGGCAAAGGAGAGAATAGTGCAATGACAAAAATTCCATGAGATGTAAGAGATATTATTCACCACTATGGAAAAATCAGCCCTGCCAAGTCCCTACCAAAGACAGGTGAAAAATCAATACACTGAGGGATCTCACCCTCAGCATAGATGGCTGCAAGGTTACACATATTGGGAGGTGCAGTCTCTCCTCCCCACACACGCTGCTGGGCTTTCAACTCACTGGAACCATCCAGCACTTGGATCACATTCTTGTGGATGGCTCAG